ATATTTTTTATATGATATCCCCGTCAGATATGTCAAATATTCGTTCATCTGATCAAATATGCGGGAGCGTTTTTCATGTCATGTTTTGCCTGTTTTGACAGGTAAAAATATTCGCAAACTTTCTAAGATATTTGTAAATCATGACAAAATGTCATGATTTCGGATGTCATGATTCCGGATGTCATGATTTCGGATGTAATGATTTCGGATGTCATGAAAATATCAAAATATTGCGCAAAATTTTTGAAATGAAATGAGGTATTTATATCCCGCTCATATGATTAACCAACAACACAAGGAAGGTGGTTAACCATGTCAGAGCGGCTGACTGTGAGTGATGTGAGCAAATGTGTAAAAATGAACAAGAGTATAATTTTAAGAAATTTTTTCGAAAACAATTTAAAAAAAAAGCAATAGCGAACAGAACGCACACTCCTTTGCATTTACCCCGTCAACCTATATCTAATCCATTCAAAGAGTGACAACCATTCTACACATTGAATTAGGATTCCTTTGTTTACTCTGTAATAAATGGCATAAAATTGAAATTTTTGTTTAACTAAAATTTTAGTTTAACTGTCTCACATATCTCTATTTCTTCTTAACTTATTGCTTCATGGCGGTGGCAAAACAGTTACCTCCTCCTTTTCTTCCTCAACCTCTGAGTACATATTGTAGATCTTTGATCTACCATCTTTGATCTCGCTTTATAGTAAGATAGTAAGATTTGGACATTCCAACAGCCATATTTGTAACGTGTAACCAGCCAATTCAATTATACATTAGGCCAGCGACAATTAAGGTAGTGCATACCATGCTTTCTTCGCCCGAGGCTTCGTTGCAATGCGCAGCTCCTCAAATAAACCTCACACCTGATTTCTCTAGCATTCGGCTGAGTGGACCGGGGGGCTGCATAGACCACTCAGGATCCTTAGCTGAGCATCAACAACGGCTCAGCAGAGAATCAAACCTGGTACCTTGAGAAATGCTTGAGAAATTTCGACGAGCAGATAGATTTACCGACTTTAATTAAATTAAAATTTTATCATAATATAGTATTACCATCAATTCTGAATGCCAAATTTTTGATTTTTTTACTAGAATCACTGTAAGAAGAGAAACCAAAATAGATAGTTATTAAACAAAAAACATCTATTAGTACATAATTTTTTTGTAAATCTAAACTTAATTATAGTTGAATATTCCCTAATACAATGATTTGAAAAGTCCATGACGCAAGCATTTTTTTCATGACAATCACTTCATAATCAATGTCGAATCACTGTTTCAGAATTAAAAGTCCCACTGTCTACGCAGTCTCCCCAAAAACATCTTCAAATCAAGTCCTCCAAACTCAATTTCCAATCCATTATCGGCGGTAGGGATCTCTTCTTCGGTAGGCTCTTCACTGGTGAAAGGTGGAGGAGATGTATCAAACCAATCAGATGTAACTTCAGTGATGGGCTTTGTGGGATGCTCCGTGGTATAGTAACTGGACGAGAAATCAGTTGTAGCGTCACCATTCTCCTCACAGTATAGATACAAGTCGTTGTAGTGCTGTCCATTCTTTTCAGTTTCATATGTACAGTGGGATATATCTGTTGCATTATCTGGACATGTTACTCCCTTTATCAAAGTGTTGATCCCACCTCCAATCTGATAGAGTTCTTCGGGGAAATGTAAGTATTCAACATTTGTCGTCATGTGTTGCATTTTCTTGTATCCACGACTCTCACATATCAAATCAGCCACCTTGGAGTTGGTTCCAGAGTGGCCCACTGTTCCTATATCTACTAGTTCCCCCGTCTCTTTTTTGATTAGAGCTGCAATTACCAAGCCCTCTGGTCCATTATGTATTTTGTTGATATCTTTCTCTTGACGAATCATGTAGAAGACAAGCCTCAACTCTCCTTCCCTCGTCCTAAAGTAAACCAATCTCCAATTACTTCTTATTCCAGCATCGTTTCCAGCAATGACTTGAGCTGTGACTTAAGAATCAGTGGGTAGGTCCAAAATCGTGTAATAGTTATAAGAAGTTTTAATCTCTGTCCAGATTCTAGACCCACCTATGTCATATACCCATGCGACTTTGTAGAAAGTGGCTCCCGCGACAGTACCCCAAGTCAGGGTGGCGTTGGTGAATCCTGGGAGAGCATTCAAATTGTTAACCATAGCGGTGGGGGGTTCAAGGATATCGAGAGTGATTTGATTAGAATTTCCTTTACGAGATACCATACAAGCAAAAATTCTTGCATCTATTGCCGTGACGTTCTTAATGACGAGGGAAGCAAGTCCAATATCGTCATCACTGCTGAAATAAACTCTTTGTTCTGGATCTTCCAGGCTCACAATCTCTCCGCACATTGGATCAAAATAAAGGGATTCCCAAGTTTCTCCGACTACCATGTCGCCATACGCACGATTTCCAGCTTCCCATGAGCATGAAATGGTCACTGCCTGCTTCCAAATAATGGGTCCACCATCCATTGATGGGACAACAGAAAGTTGAATTTCACCAGTGTTACCCAACTTTTCGTTGTCATCACTTATAACTATTACATTGCATAGTGTTTGCAATACCGCTACAGTGATGCAAAGTCTTCGTAGCATATCAGCTGCTAAAACAGTGAAATATTACTAAGTGTGCAGTGATTGGTATCACGTATCTTTAAAAGTAAGATTTAATATACTTTAAAGCCAATGACTACTGACTAGCAAGAGAACTTTGTCTATTTTATAAATATCCTATAATCCTACGGCTACAGTGAAGATACGTAATTAAGGCTTACGTTCAAATACTTATAAGATGTATAGATGTTCTTGTTACTGAGTAACTCTTGAACTTTGTATTTGTACAAAGTTTATAAAAGATTGTCAACATTGATCTTAAATTTACTTGGGCAATAAACGAGAGCACGAAGAGACATTACAAATTTAAAACCAAACTTCATAACATCAGCACAGATAATAACTGCACTTTCAGAGCTTTGAATTTATAATAAACAAGAGACTCACCCAATCGTTAGTTGTGAGGTGTTGTAGTCTGGAAAATTTTCATTGGAGCTTTGGAAGCAGCTGCTGTGGGAAAGTGGGCACAACAGTATGACCAACACGTGCTTTAACTTTGGGCAATGCTTCATCGACTCTTGTGCTTTTATTCTACATGATCTAATGGAAGATTTATTATTTTTAAATAGATGGTGAGGTGCTCCGTTTTCAATTGATAGTTCGAGATGTTTATTGGTTGAGTGATTGTTTTGTTCCTGGCACGTGTTTTTTCAAAGAAATTTGAAGGTCCTCTCCATCTCTGTTTTGTCTCCAGCTGTTAGCGCTTTTTTTGAGCTGCTCAACGGTTGTCCACAGCAATGCCCTTTTCAACCATCTGCTGTATAATTTAGAGGTTTTTAAGTGAAATAGAAATAGAATTAGAATGGAACTAGAAAACACGTGAGTGCTGTGGTCTTATAGTCTTGGTGCAGGGTAAACGCCAAACGGACCTTATAATCACATTGTGGTGCTTCATAATGACTGAATTCTCCTTGAGAAAGAATTGAAAATGTGTTTAAAATTAAGTGATACGGATAATGAGATGTGGTGAGAAGCAATAGTTATACTAAACTTAGATTAATGTAGGAGAGGACTGAAGGTGGACTATGTTGACCGTCGAACGGAAAACGAGAAAAACTACTTAAATAATATGATATATTTCAAACAATAAAAGTGGAGGAGATATGCTACATAGTGCATAATTAGATGTCCCACAGTTTGATCAAAATATTGGGTATATCCATCAAATGAGAGCTTCTAGAAGATGAAATTGTTCCCGTGACAGATTCGTTAACATAGTTTTTGAAAGTGCCCTACATAATTAGTACATGATTAGTACATAATTAGTACATAATTAGTACATAATTAGTACATAATTAGTACATAATAAGTTAAGTCTCCTCGAGGTATCTGGTGATTAAGAGAGATCACGTGTTCAGAGAGTAGTAGAGACGTGGTACCAAGCTACTTTCTAAGTCAAATAAGATTTTAAGTACTTTGGGTGACAGTGCAGCTACAGCAAGTGAAGTAAGATCGACCACCGTGGTATCCAGATGTAACACCATACCTGACATTTACCATGATCTGGATTTTAACTTATCATTTGAGGAGCTTCTAGAGAGTATATCTGTTTCAGAGGATGTTACAAGTATGATGATGGCAATATATAAGCTGTGTGGACATCTCGGGCAGTAATGAGCATGAGCTAGAGTCCTCTGATTTTTACAACAGTATGACCAACACGTGCTGTGACTTAGGAAATGCTTCATAGACTCTTGTGCTTTTATCGTACATGATCTAATGGAAGATTTATTATTTTTAACTAGTTGGTGAGGTGCTCCGTTTTCAATTAATAGTTCGAGATGTTTATTGGTTGAGTGATTGTTTTGTTCCCACGTGTTTTTTTCAAAGAAATTTGATGGTCCTCTCCCTCTCTCTTTTGTCTCCATGTGTTCGCGCTTTTGTTGAGCTGCTCAACGGTTGTCCACAGCAATGCCCTTTTCAACCATCTGCTGTATTATAATAGAGGCGTTGTAAGTGAAATAGAATGGAAATAGAAAATGGTTCAACATACAAGTGATGAGGTCGAATAGTCTTGGTGTACGGTAAACGGACTTTATAACCACAGTGTGGTGCTTCATAAAGAAGTTATAATATGTAATATCTATATTATATAATATATAATATATAATATATTATATATAATATATAACGACGCCACCCACAATTATAATATATAACATGTTTTAAAACAAATCCCCCTCCAGGTATAATATCTTTGTTTTAATCCAGCAATAAAGGTTTTATGAAGGCTCATACATGTTCTATAGTATTTTAAATTGAAAATTTAAGTTCTCTTGATAACTACCCACATCCAGGAAACTATTGTTTGTTTAAGGTATGATTATGAGAGTATAGTTTTCGATGTTACATTATTTTCCAACCTCAGAGTTATTACAATGGTGCATCCGTCTATGTTCAACACTAGGATAAACCTAGAACAGTTTAAAGCCACAGTCTGCTGTGATTGTATGTGTGGACCTAAGCCAGAAACTCGAGAACTGTGCAAGAAGTTAGTCGAGTATATAAGAATATGCAACAATTGGGGCTACGGTGAATTACAGTTTGATCTCCAATCAAGAGCAGGTATTGTGAACAAGTTTGAGTAAAATAACATGAGTCAATATTTCTTGTTTGGACAGTGAAAATAGATAAGAGAAATTATTACAAATTATATATTTTATTTTAAATGTATGTACCTATGGATAGGTTAGGGTAGATCTATTTGTTTATTATATTGTAGCTTAATCTTAACAACTATAATGTTTCAGATTTGGCATTGTTTGTGACTATAGAATCTGAACTGTTTCAAAAAATGTTTTCGTATCTTGGATATCTTGACATGAGCCCTTTGATACGTTTGATCATAGATCATGGTGGGACTAGATCAGTTGTAACCCTTGCCCTATCTGGGTTACTGCCATTCTATGAAAACAATGTTTCCAGTCTCAAGATTGTTGTACAATCGTTGACTGAAATTTTGACGAAGTTTCTCCACTTTGAAAAGATTCATAGTCCTGTCTCCAATAACGTCTTTTCAGCCTTACCGAAAATACTACAAGGTGTTAAGACTCATTGGCATGATGAAACACTTGTAAAAGATACTGTTAATTTAGTACATCTTCTAGTTGATAACTCCTGTGATGAAGAGATAATAATAGTTGTGGAGCAAGGTGTCATGAAGCTGTTGTCAGTTATCGTGAGTCTTCATTACAATGCTCACTCTAACAATCGTGAAAAGCGAGGAAGAGAGGCACTTTTGCACAGATTAGTTGAGACATTGGCCACAATTGGTTCTTCTGAACAAGAAATTCCATCTATTAAGCGGAAATTAGTTCCCGCTGTAAAGCCACTTCTGCCCTTCATATTTGAGTATATCAACACGGTTTGCTCTGATTTAAAGAAAGCCAGAGACGTTCTAGAGTCAAATGAACGCAGAAAAGTAGTGGAGTCGATAAATATGGTAATTTATGCAACATTGTTTCCAGATGTAAAGATCGAGGACTTCTTAACGGTTATTAAAAGCAACTTTGTTCTAAATCTCATAAAACTCAAGGAAAAAGTTATGGAGTTTGACCATGTTCATCTCTTTTTCAGTATGTTTGTTGAGAAATTGATGGGCAGCTATCTTACTATTTCGATGGAAGAAAGAAGCGAAATGCTGCCAACATTATTGGCTGTCATTGAAAGTCCAGGAATTCGCAGTAATGGTAGACATATGGCAGAAAGATTTCCTCCTCATTGTTTGGGCCACAAAAAGGTCAATGAGATGAATACGGCTGAAGTATGCATTTTATTCATATTCTATTACAGCAAGGAAGAATTTGTTCCATTCAGTGACAACTACAAAAGTTTGTTGGACAAGCATGACTTATTCAACATTATCAAAGACTTTGCCTTCGCAAATTCACAATCATACAGCTGTGTGGATACTGTGGTCATTGCTTTGGGATCGTCTCTCAACAAACATAATATGGCAGATAAAGTGGTGACTCCAGTCAGGGAGATGGTGCCATTCTTACTGCAGTACTTGAAGAATCTGAAAGGCTTGAAGAAAAGTACAATGCCTGATAGATACAACCTTATCTTATCAATCCTTGAATTTTACTGCTTTGTGTATGTCTATAGCACAAAAAACGAAATCGAGCTGATTGAATCAATCAACGGTCTTTTTACGGAGTTGCTTACCTTCTTGCGTAGTAATCAGTGTGCAAAGGATTGTCTTCTTTCTAGACGTGCGTGTGAAATACTTTACCAATACTTAACCAGAAATGGTAGCAAGACACATGCAGCAACAGTTTTAGAGGCTATTCCTGTTGTTAAGAGATACATCAAAAGAGCCCTCAAAGAGGAAAATCCTGCCTTTTTAGCTGCTGGAGCACAACTTGTTCTTGCTGCTGTACCCTCTGAAATAGAAGACCCTGAAATGAACCAGACTGTTGGGGACATTATCATTGATGTTCTGGAGAGGTATAAGTTCTCGCTTGACCAACCCATTAACGTTATTCGTGCACTATGGGAGATAGTGAGAAGTAATGGTCACGTGGCCCTGACACGATACATCAGCCATATTGCTGCTCACAATGACTTTGATTGGGTAGCAAGTCAAAATTCTGAAACCATGTGCGACAAATCGGTTGTATTCAACTACTTGGCTGAAAAGATAACAACCATTTTGGATTCAGGAGAAATAGTGGATAACTTCTATTTGGAAGTTCTGACAAAGGATTTGGTTTCTGTTGCTGAGAAGAGCATTTCTGATGAGGAAATGTACGCACTAGAAGACTTGGTATCACCACTAATGTGGCTGCTTAATGATGTCGATGGAAATGAGGTCGTCATCAGAAATGTCAAGAAGTACATTAGCATTTTACATTGAAAAGTTCAACGAAACTATAGAATTTACTTTTCTTCCTAGATTTTTATTTGGAATACATGAATTTGTAAGTTATTTAAATGATCCACCATTTGGATGTTTTAGAATTACCATAATTGGCATTGTTTTTATCTATTAGTGCCCCTTCCCACTTTTTGCCCCTTCTCATTTCAATAAGTGGGTTTAATATAATGACATTTTTTGTTTGATTTAACTTTTTACTCAGTAAAAAGTTGTTATGTTTTCAAATCTAACCACGTTAAAAAGTTTTTAACGTACAAGTTATATTTTCACATAGTTTTTAATCAATTGTTTTAAATTTCATTTTCACAAATTTAACCTTAACTTATTTTAACCAAGTTTTAACAAATTAAATTATAAAAAATTATTTTTACTAACTATTATGTCATCAATTTTATTATCAATTTATCCAATACAAAATTTTTCATTGCGTTTCTGCACAAACTTCTTATTCAGTCGTAACATAGGACATGATAGGTACCTGTCTGCATTATTCAAATTAGACCTTTTCCTCGGATTTATACTCATATTATTGCCCTGCACTTTTCAACAATAAACTTTATTTAAGTTGATATGAATTGCACCTTCTCACATCACCTTTACTCCGCAGTCAATGGCAGATGGCTGACAGTGGGTTACCCTGATGAGATAGCTCACTTTCTGTTTGCAGCATTATGGAAATAGATCTGTACTCATGGCCTAGTTACTTTGATAACGAGGGTCGTTTGTTGGATGAATACAAGCTTAGGAAAACCAGTTTCTTTCACGGTCTCTCAGATGACATCAGGTTGATAATTAGTACTTAATTAGTACATAATTAGTACATAATTAGTACATAATTAGTACATAATTAGTAAATACTCATTTCCTAGACACCAGGTTGATAGCTAAATACTCATTTCCTTTATTGATCTTTGTCTGTCTACTTCAAATTAAAATATCACCGCAGAATGTCTAATGTTTATCTGGACGTGACGATCAATGATCATTCTTCAATTTTCGGCTATTTCATCTTGTATTATTGTAATAGGTATAATATGCTCACGTGTTGTCAATTTCATAACATGAGTCCGTTACTTTTCAGACGGGAAGCATGGCCGGTAATGTTAAGCTTATGGGACCGAGACAGCACTAGCCTCATCAGACACACCGCAAGAGATAAGATGCTGAAAGAGTACGAGCACCTCCGAAACGGGTGGATTAACGCTCAGCCCGAGCTATTTGATAGAGAAATGAAACAGTCCATCAAGGTTTGTGGCTTGGTGTTATCTTTATGAATTAAAGTTCATCATAAAAAAGCGCCCTCCTGTTGGCGCCCCCTCCCCTTTTAGTGCCCCTCCCTAAAATATAACAAATTAGATGATTTTAGAGGATACGCCGGTAAAATCTCTTAAAAAATGTGTTTCTAGAGCAAAACGCGCAGTTTTGCTAGTACCGTAGTTAAGTTTTTCGAAATTGTCCCACATTAAAACGACAATTTGGCGCCCCCCTAAGATTGCGCCAAATTGCGCCGGTTTATGTTATCAATTATCAGGTGCTGAGGGGGGGGGGGGGGCTGATTTACACAAACATACATTACTATTCGTGCTATCCGTTAAGCAACTTTTGAATGAGTTGTAATTAGTTTTTACTAATCTTTGTTACAAAAACGAATTCTAAGAATTAGATCCTCTTTAATTGAAAAAATTGATTTATGGGATAAAAGGTAATGTTATCAGACAATAGGAAAGGACGTGAGGCGGACAGAACGGCAACACCCGTACTTTGCGGAGGAGGACGGAGAAGGACTGAGGATGTTACGTCGTATTCTCATTACACTCAGTGCTTACGATACTGAAGTTTCTTATGTTCAGGGGATGAATGAGATAGTGGCTCCTATTCTGCTTACTTTACAGGTGTGTTAATATAAACACACACAATATCACACAATATCACACAATATCACACAATATCACACAATATCACACAATATCACACAATATCACACAATATCACACAATATCACACAATATCACACAATATCACACAATATCACACAGTATCACACAATATCATAATATCACACAATATCACACAATATCACACAGTGAATGAGATTGTGGCTCCTATTCTGCTTACTTTACAGGTGTGTTATATAAACACACACAATATCACACAATATCACACAATATCACACAATATCACACAATATCACACAATATCACAATATCACACAATATCACACAATATCACACAGTGAATGAGATTGTGGCTCCTATCCTGCTTACTTTACAGGTGTGTTAATATAAACACACGCAATATCACACAATATCACACAATATCACACCATATCACACAATGAATGAGATTGTGACTCCTATTCTGCTTACTTTACAGGTGTGTTAATATAAACACACACAATATCACACAATATCACACAATATCACACCATATCACACAATGAATGAGATTGTGACTCCTATTCTGCTTACTTTACAGGTGTGTTGAATATAAGTGAACTATTAGATCAAATCTTCAAATGTTGGCTAATTAGAAAACAGTTCCTCTTTAACTAAATGAGCGAAACTTTACTGCATGTGTTGTGATCATTAATAATCTGCCATCAGGAGGAATCCCTGACGTTCTGGTGTTTTGTGAAGCTGATGCCCTTACTTCGTGACAGACTACTAACCCTGGACATTTCCCCCCAACTATCCTCCACTGCTGATCTTGTTCAATATTTTGATAGCGATCTGTACCTTCACATTGAGCAGCTTACTGGTGGTCATTGGCTCTTTTGCTTTAGGTTTTTATAACAATAATTTTAATCACGTACACCACCAGTAACCTTCACATTGAGTAGCTTACTGGTGGTCATTGGCTCTTTTGCTTTAGGTTTTTATAACAATAATTTTATCACGTACACCACCAGTAACCTTCACATTGAGTAGCTTACTGGTGGTCATTGGCTCTTTTGCTTTAGGTTTTTATAACAATAATTTTAATCACGTACACCACCAGTAACCTTCACATTGAGCAGCTTACTGGTGGTCATTGGCTCTTTTGCTTTAGGTTTTTATAACAATAATTTTAATCACGTACACCACCAGTAACCTTCACATTGAGCAGCTTACTGGTGGTCATTGGCTCTTTTGCTTTAGGTTTTTATAACAATAATTTTAATCACGTACACCACCAGTAACCTTCACATTGAGCAGCTTACTGGTGGTCATTGGCTCTTTTGCTTTAGGTTTTTATAACAATAATTTTATCACGTACACCACCAGTAACCTTCACATTGAGCAGCTTACTGGTGGTCATTGGCTCTTTTGCTTTAGGTTTTTATAACAATAATTTTAATCACGTACACCACCAGTAACCTTCACATTGAGCAGCTTACTGGTGGTCATTGGCTCTTTTGCTTTAGGTTTTTATAACAATAATTTTAATCACGTACACCACCAGTAACCTTCACATTGAGCAGCTTACTGGTGGTCATTGGCTCTTTTGCTTTAGGTTTTTATAACAATAATTTTATCACGTACACCACCAGTAACCTTCACATTGAGCAGCTTACTGGTGGTCATTGGCTCTTTTGCTTTAGGTTTTTATAACAATAATTTTAATCACGTACACCACCAGTAACCTTCACATTGAGCAGCTTACTGGTGGTCATTGGCTCTTTTGCTTTAGGTTTTTATAACAATAATGTTATCACGTACACCACCAGTAACCTTCACATTGAGCAGCTTACTGGTGGTCATTGGCTCTTTTGCTTTAGGTTTTTATAACAATAATGTTATCACGTACACCACCAGTAACCTTCACATTGAGCAGCTTACTGGTGGTCATTGGCTCTTTTGCTTTAGGTTTTTATAACAATAATTTTAATCACGTACACCACCAGTAACCTTCACATTGAGCAGCTTACTGGTGGTCATTGGCTCTTTTGCTTTAGGTTTTTATAACAATAATTTTAATCACGTACACCACCAGTAACCTTCACATTGAGTAGCTTACTGGTGGTCATTGGCTCTTTTGCTTTAGGTTTTTATAACAATAATTTTAATCACATACACCACCAGTAACCTTCACATTGAGCAGCTTACTGGTGGTCATTGGCTCTTTTGCTTTAGGTTTTTATAACAATAATTTTAATCACGTACACCACCAGTAACCTTCACATTGAGTAGCTTACTGGTGGTCATTGGCTCTTTTGCTTTAGGTTTTTATAACAATAATTTTAATCACGTACACCACCAGTAACCTTCACATTGAGCAGCTTACTGGTGGTCATTGGCTCTTTTGCTTTAGGTTTTTATAACAATAATTTTAATCACGTACACCACCAGTAACCTTCACATTGAGCAGCTTACTGGTGGTCATTGGCTCTTTTGCTTTAGGTTTTTATAACAATAATTTTAATCACGTACACCTGTACACTGTACAGTATGTTACTCTGTAACAACTGTCAAATTTGTAAGAATCATAGCTTAAATTGCCCTAAATCGCCAGGCAACTAAAGATATTCGTTACTCAATGTTTAACAATATCGACTAAGTTGACAAGCTTGTTCGTAGCATTATCACTATCGCACAATATCACACAACATCACACAATACCACACAATACCACACAATACCACACAATATCACACAATATCACACAATACCACACAATATCACACAATATCACACAACATCACACAATATCACACAATATCACACAACATCACACAACATCACACAACATCACACAATATCACACAATATCACACAATATCACACAATATCACACAACATCACACAACATCACACAATATCACACAATATCACACAATATCACACAATATCACACAATATCACACAATATCACACAATATCACACAATATCACACAACATCAAACAATACCACACAACATCACACAATATCACACAATATCACACAATATCACACAATATCACACAGGTGGTATCTGCTGATGTTTAAGAACGAGTTTAAAACGGAGGACATCCTCAGACTATGGGACGTGTTATTCTCCCAACACAACACCGCTCACTTTGAGATATTCATCGGTACTTCTATCATATTGATGCACAAGGAGGAGGTTCGTGACACTTCCTTTTTAATCGGATGGTGTCATTAATTTTGAATATTCTGAACTTTTATAATCCTGAATAAAAACTTTTAAAATATTCACGTGAAAGTTGCTAATTTTAATCTCAATAGAAACACCATTAAAGTCATGGTGGGTATGTACTGCAGTCCTGGTAGCATGGTTTCCATGACATGCATACGCTAGTCCATAATCATGATATCGTTGTCTGCATTAAAACATTATTCAACTGGTAATGAATTAATTGAATTAATTGTTTATTAAATGCTTACATCAGGCAATGCTTGCACAGAACTTGCATATATTCTGCATTCGTTATCTACCCACAGATCTGTAAATTGAAGTTTTAAGTTATTTAAGATTGTTCAAATATATTTGTAACATCATTGTGTAAATATCAATTACCAAACACAGTATTTCACTTCCATATTATGGTGCATTAAACCCAGGTTCTAGCGTGCGGTACCTCCGACCAGCTCCTCCACTTTGCCCAGTCAGTGACCGCTAAACTTAACGTGGGTATTGTTATAAACTACGCTAGGGACTTGTCAGTGAAGATAGCCAGTACTGAGGGACTTTCAGATAACCTGGCCGCTCTTGTTAAGCAGGTGAGTACTATGGGGTACTATTTTACTGTACATGTGTGATGTGTGAAGTGTGATGTGCTCTATTGTTTTACTGTAGTTAGTTCTTCAATACCTCATTATATACCTCAATATATACCTTCAATACCTGATATGCTTCGGTATGTAAATGAAGATTACTGAAGTAATGTTCAATAATACTACCACATGTAAAATGATTCAGTAAATAAAATGATAAGAATCTCATTAGGGAATCATAAATTCATAGTTTATCATGTAATGAAGTATGTAATGTATACTGTTAGCAGCATATGGTATTGATATACCATTTATAATGTATAGCAACTTTCGTTCATTTATAGAAAACAGGTACTGTAATTTGAATAATGTATAGTGTAATATATTCCCTTACATTAATTAATTATCACATATATTATCCCTTACATACCCATACAGGTTGATAAAGTATTATATTATCCCTTACATACCCGTACAGGTTGACAAAGTGCCTCCACCCCTGGTTGGCTTTGTAAGAAGACGACAGTGTTTCCAGAACGTTTACTCAGGAAGACAGCACATGAACGACGATCTAATCAAGTACAGAAATAGTATTATTTCGCTGCTAGTTTGCTTTTATATGCCTTACAAACGTCGTATACATGTACTCTATTCAATATAAATGAATAACAACAATAACTGAATAGCTAATAACTTATTTTCAGATCTCTGATGAGCTTGAACACGTCCCAGACGGCACCTCGAACTACGCCCCTCTTTTTCAACTGTACCGAGGCCTCAGTCCCCATCCCTACACAGAACTACCTGGCTGGTATTCAGGGGGTACAACCCCTGACTTTGGCTGAGACCCCCCAACTCGCTCCCCCTCCTACTGACGCACAACTTCTAGCTGCTTCAGCCAGTATGTCAAACCCCAGAAGTAGACAGCGCCGACCAGATGCCTTGTATAAAGACAGTGTTAGTGCTGGGGGGAGTGCCGTGGTGGGTCAAGCACCAGGAAGTGGGCACTATGATAACTCAGCACAACCTAGCACTGAACCTGGCGCTCAGCACTCAGCACAACCTAACGTGCAGCACTCAGCACAACCTAGCGTGCACAACTCAGTACAACGCAGCGCTCAGCAGTATGGTACTGGTGCTTACTCTGGACAATATGAGCATCATAACCATCAGTATGATTACAGTCAGGGGTATAATCCAGAACACTATGCAAACAGTCAGCAGTATCATGTAAATAACCAGGAATATCATTTAAATAACCAGGAATATTATGCAAATAACCAGGAATATTATGCAAATAATGAGGAATATTATGCAAGTAACCAGGAATATTATGCAAATAATGAGGAATATTATGCTAATAGTCATAATCACTCTGTCACTAATGAACAATCCGTGTACCAGGGCTCTGACAACAATGTCTATAATTACCAAGACCAATACAGTTATCAGCAACAGGGACATCCTGTTCAGCAACAGGGACATCCTGCTCAGCAACAGGAACATCCTGTTCAGCAACAGGGACATCCTGTTCAGCAACAGGGACATCCTGCTCAGCAACAGGAACATCCTGTTCAGCAACAGGGACATCCTGTTCAGCAACAGGAACATCCTGTTCAGCAACAGGGACATCCTGTTCAGCAACAGGGACATCAAGTTCAGCAACAGGGACTTCCTGTTCAGCAACATGGACATCCTGTTCAGCAACAGGGACATCCTGTTCAGCAACAGGGACATCCTGTTCAGCAACAGGGACATCCTGTTCAGCAACAGGGACACCAAGTTCAGCAACAGGGACATCCTGCTCAGCAACAGGGACATCCTGCTCAGCAACAGGGACATCCTGCTCAGCAACAGGGACATCCTGTTCAGCAACAGGGACTTCCTGTTCAGCAACATGGACATCAAGTTCATAACTTCCACAACAGTCAGCATCAAACAAGCGACCCTCCGATAGAAGCCTCCACAAGTGTAGACAATATCTCTGTGGCAGAGTCGGAGGCAAGTAGATCTCCCCAATCAGAAAACGTCCCCCAAAATGTTCAGTCTGTTAAAGAGGACGATGATGCACTGAGTAAGATAAGTGACGATTTCTGGGATATGGGTATATCTGTTCACTCGAACGAAGCACTCTCGTAGACTATGCTATCTATAATATTATATACAGTTTGACGATCAGCTACACAGGTTATACCACCGGTTTTATGGGTTGTGTTGACCGGTTTTTATCTTAAACTGACAAATGTCATGTATATTGGACTTTTGATACATTTGTAGTCGTGTAAGTACTACTCAGTAATGCCCTGGTACATTTTAACGCATGACTAATATGTTGTTTGTAGGAAGTATTAATTTGTAACTTGTTTATACAATACCAAAAGTTATATATATACATATCTGCATTGAGTATTTTTTGACAATGTCTCCAACTAGGGCAAGATCTGAAGATCAGATCAGTCTAATTTAAAGTTCCGTGTTAGGAATTACTATTGGTTTCATAGCTCACTTTCATATCAGTTTAGTTGTTAAACATTTCACGATTGCTTTAACTTAATTTAGTTAAAGGATCGTATGAAGATGCGGCAAAAAGTGGGAAAACCCCCTAAAATATTGATGGAGGGAGAGGACGCTGGACGAGGATCCAATTCAGCAGAGAAAGCCAATCAAGGTAATGGTATGCAGGTTATTTAAAGTTTTTTGGCATCACCTTATGGAGTGCGCGATTGTATTAGCTGTAGAACACACTACGCTTCACGTACGAATAAAACGCGGTATTTTGGATTTAATTATTGCCCATGTGGCGGTTTTTGACGGAGAATTATGATTTACTCTTACCATCTTCCTCTTAGATCCACCCGTGTTCAGCTTCGTTAGAATTAACCAGGGCCACCACCTAGTACCGCATGTCTTGTGTATCTAAATGCTGTTTCCTTGGTCGAGCAAACACTTCTTAATCCGTTTTCGGCACAATGACAAGTTGTATCAGGAACTTGTGTAAACCCTTATCTAGACTATTGTACTAGTCTGATATGAGGTGATTGTCTTCCTTAATTTGAGTGCCCAGAAAGTTTAATAACGTTAATTAATGACTGATTCGCCGCGGAGACTGATATGAGGAGAAATTCATATTTTGGACTCAATGTTAGTGTCAGGATTGAAGAGAAAAAGTTATGACACAACTTGAATTGAAAAGCCTCTGGGGCATTCTTGGTACAGTTGCAACATTAAGACGCCAACTATAAAGTAGAGCTGGTTATCATGTGTCCTAGAGGATGCAGCTCACAGGTGACAACAATACATTGGAGAGGACCCATACATCGGAAAAGTAGTAACTGTGTGGTGCAGGCCACTTCAACGACTAGGAGGAGACCTTTTAATGGACAATTGTTTCACCGGAGATCAATTCACTCCAGTGAGTTCTGTTTGATAAACGGTGCAATAATCGGGAAGCTTGAATGATCTTTTTACACTCTAGTGTAGTGTTGTTGTTGTTAGTGGTAATAATGTAACCAGCCCCGCTACCTGAGTCTGTGCGTGACCCGTCTGTGTAGCAGGTGATGGTTTCATGATGAATAATTGATGTGGTTTGTGCCAATGACCTGTGACTTGTAGCAACTCTATAGAAATCATATCATGTATTATATTAAACCGCCCCCTTCTCGATGATATAACATCTCCATATCTTGCTCCGATCCTGTCACGTACTTGTTCAAAGGTTTAGGGCCCAATACCCAATACTGCAAATGAATTCTCAGTATAATATGTACTGACCGCAGGGCCTGGAATTTTGGCCCCGTTCCTGATGGGCTTCTAAAAAGCCCATACTGCAAACAAAATTTAATTTTAATGACCGCAGTGATTTTGGCTCTGCTGATTGTTGGATTCGGTGAATCCATTAATTTCCACTTATGCAGAATAGTTTATCTTTCTCCGTTTTTAGGACATTAGATACATTTTCCTCAAATTATTCCAGTAATGTGTTTCTTTTATACTGGCTATCTGTATAAAAATTGCCTTTAGCATACTCTCCAATTCTTTGATGTTTTTGTTGTTGTTGTTGTACCCTTGTATAGTTCCATAACTGCCACTGGGGATAGTATCCAAGAAAACCTCACACCTCAGACGTCCAGAGAGTGGGTACATGACCGTGTTTTAAATACACTTTAATCCCTTGTAGCTGCATTTTGTTTGTAATAATTTGGAAACCCTCCCCCTCGGCTGATTACGTAATATGTGAACGACTTCGTAGAAGTATTGTAATAGATCAGATCGTTTCTATTGTATCTATAACACAATATTGTATCTATCACATGTATTTGAACCGGTCCTCATCAGTGCTTAATATGCAGTGTCATGGTCCTGACCATATAGTGACGGTGTAATGTGTTAAAGTATTCTTCTAGAGTAGTCTGTAGTAGTGCTGCAGTAGTCGTCTAGTCTGCATGTGGTCGGATCAGTGACCACCTCTTACCAACGTCTACAGTTGCTCAGTCATTCACTCCGCAGTCTTTCACATCGCATCTGACCACCACATCTGACGACAAAAGTCGCCGCATTTGACTCAAAAGTTAACACATCCGCCATGTTATCACAGCTATCTTAATACAGAAATGTTCATCCTCACAGTTACCACTGATTCTGCCTTGTTAAGCTTGGGAGGTTATTACTTTTTAGGACGTACCTGAAATTGGACTGACTCTTTGTGTAGTAGTATATCAGGAGTGAGTCTGTGTTTTGACATTTATTCAAAATTAACAAAAGATACTTATAAATTTAACGATCATGCTCATGATAAGTGGGCAAACTTTTTTGCCATCACTACAAAAATAGCAATGGATGAATATCACCGTTAATGAAATCAGCCACATGGTAAAATATTTTTTCGCAAGGCCAAAAACACTGAATAGGACCTCAATGCATTAAACCTGCTATTGGAGAGCATCAGAATAAAGTACCTGTATACAAATCCAGATCGTTGGGTGTGGCGAATTATACATTTTCAACATATGCAGGGTAACACTTTACAGTGGCTACCACAGAGAGGGCCCTCGGTTTTTATAGGGTTTTAAGTAATATATCGCACTTTTCAAAATAAAACATTTTGTATAATCCGTGTATTAATACGATTTGGCTTGATTTTTAAAAAAGTTTTCATATTTGACTCTGAGTGACATAATATTCTTGCATTTTTTGCTCAAATTGAAAAATAATAGACACCAATTATAGCTCTCTTCGGACCACTTCCAATTATAGCTCTCTTCGGACCACCTTCCAAGGTCTGAAATTCGACGGATTGTATCCCATGCTCTATTACATTATGTCAAAGAAAATGTAATCCCTTTTTGATTTTTGAAATTTCGTACTTTCTGATCTGTTGTGCAGATGGCATGTAGCGGAGGGAAGAGAGAGAGAGAGAGAGAGAGAGAGAGAGAGAGAGAGAAGTTTCAAACTTTCGTTAAACATAATTTTTCATTATTGGTTCAGCAGTCACAGACTCAACCAAGGGTAGTATTGTTTTGAGTATCGTCTATTTTTTAAATTTTCGAAGATTTTGAGGAGTCGTCATGGTATCGCTGTCAACCTTCAAAACGTTTCCGTGAAACATCTCTGCAAGATGCATGATGATTGAGAACGGTCTGCAGGACCTTAAATTTGCTATTACGTCTTTCAGTGACAAGTTCTGTTAGGTATGTAGTTTTAAATGCTGTCTTTTCATGGCAACACGTGGCATAATCAGTGATTCACAATGTTACAAATTACGGTGAAGTGTTACTAGGGTTACTAGGTTACTAGGGTTACTAGGGCTACTTCTCATAATGAACTGTCCATTCAAGCTTATCTTTAGCCACTCCTACCCCCACTCAAAACGTTGCAGACTCCGATTAATGCAATAATTGATTTTAAGAGATTATTGAGATAACGTGTTAATGTGGGGTAGAGATAACGAAAAAGAGGTGCAAAAAGACATAAAATTGGGAAATTCAAACGAATACGAATTTCCGGTGAGAAATTAATCACTCTTAAATATGGTTTTTAAAACTTTATTATAACAATTCACCACAATATTTAGCGCACGTTACCATTGTTAATGCTGTTAGTGTTAGCGGATTATGAGCACGTACCAACCCGTTTTAGAGCTGCATTTTCCAAGCTTTACTCCTTTAGAATTATCTAGAACACTGAATCGCGAACCCATATAGCGACATGAGTGGCCGATGGCTATGCATTGGTTTCCGAGTTCATCTTAAATTTACTTCGGTGTGTTTTGATGTTTATGTCAAACCATCGAAAATTGTCACCGACGTGTTTATGTTTTATGCCAAACCATCGAAAAATCCCACCTTAGACTAAGGAACAGTTTAAATGTTGTTGCAAACAAAGGAACGTCCGGGAGGTCCACTAGTACGCCGGGGGCCTGCCCGTGAGAATTTTATTTTTTTCTTTCTTTCTGCCGAAAAGATTTAGGCACGCTCTTTGGTAAGCCTAAATCAGCGCATTTTTGTGCAAGCTCGTTTTCTGAAGAATTATCCAGAGCTCGTTATAAATAAAGTGTTCCTCGTTTGGCACGCTCATTGGCAAATCTCACAAATCCTTATAGGCCTGAAATAGCGGGCCTGCCTGTAATGCGTTGAATGCTTGTGATATAATCTGCTTTTTCGCATGTTGACAACAATGAATAATGATGAACTATATACACTCGTCGGAATTTTCTCTGCTATTTTTTTACTATTTCTCAGTTTTTCCAATAAAAGTCAGCAAATTTTAGGTAAATCTTTGCAGAGAGTAACGTGCCACAGAGTTAACACAACACTCAACAGTTACACTCTTGTTGTCGCCTCTGTTGCCAACTATTTAATATTATTTTACCGTCTGAATATTTCTCTTGTTTTTTGTGATGCATGCCTTGTGGACGTGACCAACTCCTAGTTGCCGAGCTCTGGTAGTGCCCCTGCACTGCATTGCGATGACGAAAAACCAGGAAAAACTCGCTGGTCTAATAAAAATAATCTAGATAACCTTTGTAGGTGGGGATGCCTAGAATTAACGTATATTTATATACCGACTGAATTTAAATAATTCAATCACGAAATTACAGGCTTTTTCACACGGTGCATTTGTTTATCTCATGTCAAATGTTCTTGATAAGAACTGTGTCGCATGGTTTCATCTTTTAATGTTGCAAACTATTGGTGCTTCAGGCCCGTTGGCTGTATAGAATTTAATGGTGGCTGTTTTATTTTTATAAACCATTTCTATTTTCGAGTAGTGCATCAGCGGCTTGTTCAAGCCAGAACAGCTTGCGCTTTGGTGTGTACTAATCGCCTCGATATCATATTTTGCCTGAAGCGTCACGTACCATGATCTCGCAATGTTTCCTCCTACGTAGATGCCCTCATATCATTTCGGGATTTTTGATTTAAATGGTTTCGATAAACCAAGCCAAGATGTGTTTTGCATTGTACCCGTCGATAATCTTACGATTTTGTAACCTTTATACTTTACATGCTTCCTGTCGCTTGTCAATAATACATCAAGTTCAAGTAGTGAGAGATCTTTTGACCAATTTTAATTTTTCTTATTTGGCACCGATGATAAGTAATTGGTAATGGTATGGTTCTGTCATGCAAATCATGAAATAAATTGTTTCCGGGCAATTTTGAATTTTATTATTTCCGTTAGTAATGTGCTCGTGCATGTCATTTGAGCATTCTCTGGGAAACTGGAGCACTTTCCCTTTGAATTGAGCACGCTCGTTTCGAATTAAGCAAAATAAGCAATTGGATTAAAAACCGATCCCACTGACATCTTGGTACTTATTCAAGAAAACAAAGGCCGACACAGTGAATACTCGTTACAGCTGAAGGTCATTTGCAGAGACCAATGACCATTTTCCAAATTGAAACTTTCAAGTGAGTCACGTTTCTCAAGGTTAAAATTGAAAATTATTATTTGAAAACTGTTGGTAAATTGCACCTGCATGTCCGTTGCGTACTGAGTACTGAGTACAGAGTACTGAGAAACTAGAAGTAGAACAACTCATTGGTAAGGATAACTGTTAAAAATTAAAGTGGCCACTGCATTTACCAAGAACTAAAAGTTCAATATTTAAATCAAATTACAAAGTCAAGAAAAGAACTAGAATCTCCTAGTCCATTTGTTAATGACTTCAGTACCAGGTTGCTGTAGAGTAGGAAAACAATTCAAATCCGTAAAAACAAGGTTCGGGGGAATAATCGCGGAACAAAGAGATTGCAGATAACCTAAATACCTAAATACCTAATTCACGTCGCATATGTTTGTTTTTATCGCCTGATGTTAACCCTAAACTTACACCGAAAGGACGGTGTCAAAATTTCGATACGAAAATCTTAAAATACATGTAATATACTTCAGTATATATCTCTCTATCGTCAGAATGTCTGTTAAACTAAGTATGAAGCTCTGTTCGTGAGATTCAATTCATCTGCTTGCATTGTTTGAGGACATATCTTTGTTTTTGTTATGAAACGTTAATTATAGTATGCGGTGTTAAGTACGCTTGAAATTTAAATATAAGTATAATGATCAGCATTCGATTTTGAGGTTTAACATTTTTCCAGAGAATTTATCATCATTACGATCATTATTTTTCGTTTAATACTGTGAGTTAATATAGGAATCGCTTTATCAGTAGAAATGTCTATCATCATCTCAGATATAATAGTAATATTGATAAGGATAATTTTTGCCGGTTAAATTTAATAAACTAGCGTTGGTTTACAATTCGGATTTACACCATATTCCAGATTTTACAGTGCGTGTTTGCCACCGAGCATTAGTACTCTGTTCATTTTCCTGGAAAATAAAAATTCTGTGATTGAGCATGCTGCATGTTTGTGTCGCCTTGTGTTTTAAATGATGTCTTGAAAGCCGCGGCAGTATTTCTGTCTTTATTGTTTAACTCCGCCCACTTCTAACTATGAATGTGGTCGCTACCTATCTATTTCTTTCAAGCAATCACCAGGCTGTGTTTCAAGCAGAACTTGTTATTTTACAGTTGTAGCTAATTAAAAGTAATTTGGATGTTTTTAGTGCATCAGCTTAACATGGACTTCACTTATAGGTTCTACGTTTTGTTAAAATTATGAAGTTTTTCTGGCTATTCCCGGGAGGACCCTCGCTCGAAATGGGGGTCCAATAAATAACCATCTAAAAGTGTCAAAACCAATCTAGTTTGGGTGGAATAATGGCTGGTAGCAGCGATTGTTATGTAGAATTATAATGGCTATAATTTGTCAAAGGTACCTAGGGATTGCAGTTTATGCGGGGTCACAACTTTGTACTGATTAGCACAAGCTATTTAACCAGATATATCTGTGGGAAAATGAAAAATAGATTGGTTTAGAATTAGACGAACTTCACATCGTGATCGATCGTAGAACAGTAACCACCGCGTCACAATTTAATATCTCAGGATTTGTGATAGTCGACCTTTCGAAATTGAAAATTTAGATCACAGAGGCCACCCACCACGTCAATGCTAAACCGGAAAATATGAACTTGGCGCTCTCTCAATCCCTGAATCTGTATAATGCTTTTGGACACGAAGGGAAACACACAACGTATCTTCATAAAACTACATCATTAGAGCCTCAAATTATTTGTTATATAGTATTGTAGGGAAGTATTAAAATACTCCTACAGGACTCATGACATACTCATAGATGAGATCTGTATAGCAAGAGCGTTACCTTAGTAACACCTTAGTAACACCTTAGTAACACCTTAGTAACACCTTAGTAACACCTTAGTAACACCTTAGTAACACCTTAGTAACACCTTAGTAACACCCTAGTGATACCTCAGGAGCTGAATCTGATCCTTCCCCACAGGACTCATGACATAGATGGAATAAGTCGTGCTCCCTGCTTTGTGCAGCTTTCCTCTTTATCTTGGATATGCTGCTAAACCCTCTACAACTGATACTAGCTGCGGTCCTGTTCGCGTCCACCCATTCCATGTACAAATTTACGGACTTGTCCAAGATCAAGCATTTGTCAGATTTTAGCCGTGATTTTCTATCGAAACAGTAAATAAATTCAAAGAATGATTCAATTAAATTCATTTGTTGATTAAATTTCCATGTTAAATCAAATAATGAGCTGTGGCGATTGAAGATTATCCAAACATAAAACTCTGTTGTCTGAAGATTTCTGTGTTGCAAATTTCCAAGAATACGTCCAGTAATATTCGCTTTTGCTCAGCAAACCTTTTAACGACCTCAATTTCAGTTTCTGTTCGGATAACCAGCCCTACTGTTCTGGCGGAAAGATCTGCGTTCACAACGAGTGCAGAAGATACAGGACCAACATTGACTGCTCCACTTCCGGTTAGAAGAGAAGTCTTTTTAGCTTCTTTACTTTCACTTTCACTTTCACTTTCACTAATCTTACTTTAAACGTATCTCTAAAGGTTGGCTATCCTTACATCTTTGCCTGGCCTAGGTACATTCTACGGTGATCTACGGTGATCATCGATGAGACAAAATAATAGCGGTTGAATGACTCATTGACTCTGATTCACGTGACAATCTTTCTCTTGCACCTTGTTTATGTTAACCACCATGGTAATATTAAAAAGCTCCTGAATTGATCTATAAATCCTTTCAGTTGAATCATCGTGTTGATTCGTCAAACATTCAAGTTGCTAGAAGAATCTTTTAAACGAAACTTAACTTCCTTAATTCTTGTGAAGCTACAATCACGCTGACACTAGAAAGAACGCGTTGCACAAACAACCTTTTCTACGTCTTCAATACAAATATTTCAACCGGAAATAAGCAATGTTATCTCCAGGTGGGAAGTGTCCTCGTGGTTACTGCTGTATGAACCAAGGTTCCTCCTCGGCGGGCATCTGTGTCCGCAAGCTCAACTTCCGGCTCCGGATAGGCGACTACTGTAACAGACAGGCTACCTGCGATTACTGCCAGTGTCAACCCGGACTGGTCTGCGCCAAAAACGGCTTCCAGTTTTTCCCCGAAGCCGTCTACACTTGTCAGGAGAATGACACTGTAAGTGTGATTAGTTTTTATAAATGTTTTTAGAGTCTGTACTTTGCTTCTGTAAGTGTGATCAGTTTTTATAAATGTTTTTAGAGTCGCTATTGGTTATATCACCGAGCAGCTAGGGTCCAAAAGTTTCAAACCATTTTTGTCATAATCAGTGTTTCTCACTTAATTGCTTGAACAAGAAAGTAAAATGGTTTGGTTTTTCGGGCGATTACCTGGCACGCTAGTCCCAATGCGCGGCGCTCTTTTCAAGAGGGGCATTAGACTAGTAAGCTAGGTAAGTCGGGCGACTCCTCTTTGGGTAATCACACTGTATCTCGACATACACCGTATCTCGAATGTCGATATAGAGGTGTCGAGATACGGTATATGTCGATATCCAGTGTGGGAATCTCATCTTTGCAATCGTTTATAACACGTTTACCCAGTTTACTGAACAGGAGGGCGACTGCTCTGAAGACGAACAGTGTGCCAGTGATAGGTGTTGTTCCAGCTCAAAGTGCAAACCCAAGAAAAGTAAGGCTTTACTGCTAGTTACCATAGTTACACTACTAGTTACCATAGTTACACTACTAGTTACCATAGTGACGAACAGTGTGCCAGTGATAGGTGTTGTTCCAGCTCAAAGTGCAAACCCAAGAAAAGTAAGGCTTTACTGCTAGTTACCATAGTTACACTACTAGTTACCATAGTTACACTACTAGTTAGATAGGTGTTGTTCCAGCTCAAAGTGCAAACCCAAGAAAAGTAAGGCTTTACTGCTAGTTACCATAGTTACACTACTAGTTACCATAGTTACACTACTAGTTACCATAGTTACACACTGATAGGTGTTGTTCCAGCTCAAAGTGCAAACCCAAGAAAAGTAAGTTACCATAGTTACACTACTAGTTACCATAGTTACACACTGCTTTTCAAATCATTAAGGAAACTTTAAGCTCAAAGTGCAAACCCAAGAAAAGTTAGTTACCATAGTTACACTACTAGTTACCATAGTTACACACTGCTTTTCAAATCATTAAGGTTGATGTGATCGGTGTTGTTCCAGCTCAAAGTGCAAACCCAAGAAAAGTAAGGCTTTACTGCTAGTTACCATAGTTACACTACTAGTTACCATAGTTACACTACTAGTTATCAGTGTGCCAGTGATAGGTGTTGTTCCAGCTCAAAGTGCAAACCCAAGAAAAGTAAGGAGCATTCAAATCATTTAGGAAACATTAAAGCTCAAAGTGCAAACCCAAGAAAAGTAAGGCTTTTCAAATCATTAAGGAAACAAAGTGCAAACCCAAGAAAAGTAAGGCTTTTCAAATCATTAAGTGCAAACCCAAGAAAAGTAAGGCTTTTCAAATCATTAAGGAAACAAAGTGCAAACCCAAGAAAAGTAAGGCTTTTCAAATCATTAAGGAAACAAAGTGCAAACCCAAGAAAAGTAAGGCTTTTCAAATCATTTAGGAAACAAGCTTATTGATTGATGGTCGCCGAAATTTCATTAGCCCTGACCGTGTAGCATTATAAGACCAGCCCTAGAATATTTGCCCTTAAAAAACCCCGAAGATTGTATTTAAACTGATCTAAGACTTCGTTTTTATATTATAACGTTTATTTTTAGGCAGATTCCAGTTAATTAAAATAACAATCCATTAAAACTCTGGACAAAAATCTGACGCAAGAATCGATAGGCGGTCGAACTTACAAAGAATATTAATTATTAGGTCTAAACTAATGGAAGATCATTTTTGATAAAATGATCTTTTTTTCTATAACAGTATAACATTCGATGTGCGCTTTGATGCGAATCATTATTAAATATTCAGCACCGATTTTTCGTCGAAATCAATTTCGTTTCACCATTGATAATAAATTATCAAAACTTGCACAAATTAAAAATTTGCTGACACTTATCAGCATTATTTTTGTCCAAATACTATTTTTCATCGGAAATTTGAAAGAGAATTCTGCGAATTCTGCCCAGACAGGAGAAATAAAGCAATATTGTTCGACCAAACATTATTCTTATTTCCAAAGAAAAATATGAGACAATTTGAGACAATTTAAAGACAATTTAAAATTGAATTTTAACAAGTAGACAGGATAATGTGTCATCACACCAAAATAATTTGCCACACCTGTCCTAGCGACCTTATCTTAGTTTACGCTAATATTTGTGCAAAGGCATGGTGCATAAAATTGGAGGAGACCGGTGGTTGAACTTGAAGGTGTCTTAACGCCGTCTGAAAACATTTATCTATGGAATGTAATCGCCTTATTGGGCTGTAAAAGCTGCTTTCTTACATCTTATAAATATAACACGTATGGAATTATCGTTCATCACGTTACACGCATAAAATCTGAATACCCTTAAGTTTAAAGTGTATAGGTTTATCACTCCTCCTTACCTTACTCCTCCTTCCTCTCCAGGAGAAGGAGAAAGATGTTATCCAAAGAACGGAAAGTTCTGGGAGGCGTATCTTGAGTGTAACGGAGACTGTGTGGACGGGACAGTCTGTACACGTGACGACACCCAGCCTTACTACGGTTTCTATATTTGCAGGACAGTAGGATCGGGCCCTGAGAAGCTCTGTCGTGGATCATGAGACCCTGAAACGGTTGATAATCTGTGCCACGGGCAAGTGTGGGGTGTCTTAAGTTTTGATCCCGAGTTGCTGTTCCCGGGTTCACCCTCTCTCTTTCTCTCTCTCTCTCTCTCCACATTTATCCTATGCTCCCCTCTCTCTACCTGTACCTTGTTACCAGGTAGCGCAAACATTCTGCTTGATTGCTACATTCCATATCTTTAATTACGGTCTCTCTTTTGTGATGTTTTGATGATGATGATGATGATGAATGAAGTTTTAAGGTAGGATTTAACCGAACAAAGGACGATCTTTGGAGACCCCAACTCGCCCAAACGTGTCCCGGAAACAAATTAACGATTTGAGATACAGAGACACTCTGTCTGCATGATCAGTGTTTTATTAAGGCGAAGCATTGCTTTGCATATTGCGTATATTTTAAACTTGGATTGTTGCCAGTTTGTTGCCGGTCAATTATTGCTTTGAGCTATTTTCCCGCTCTGTCCTCGTAGTAGACCGACTGTCTTGTTGGCAAGGTGCCAACAAGACAGCAATTCAGATTTTATAAATGAGTTTATCACTCATAGATAGTAGGGGCAGATTAGTTTGTATTTTTAATCAGTGTTGTAACAGTGGATGGTCGCAAGTAGATGATCATTTCTATTTGTACTGTTTCGGGTCAATCTATCTCAACTCAAGCCGTTATAGTGAGGTTTGAGGCGAATTTCTGCCATTTAAATTCAATTTTGACTCTGAGGGTCCAAGTAAAGTTTTAGATTCCGGTATAGGGTTTTTGGATTTTGGATCAGATGTAGAGTTTAGTTTTCGAAGAAAAGTTAGATTTAATTTATGTGGTAAAATGTAAGAGGCCCTTCTCGTGGGGACCACTAGGGTATTATGTGTCTGGGGTTCAATGTAAGGTTATAAGAGTTTGTCAGCAATATAGGGGTCACTGCAACACATAATTACTACGGTACTAATTGATTTTGGAAGATTTCAAACATAATTTTATTAACATCGTTCTCGGATAGGATCACGTCAAATGTGTCCTACATAAGATGCGACCTCAGTATGCAGGTAAATCTAGTTAGGATTTAGTAGTGATCATACTCATAGAATTTAGGATGATCACCATGCAACGTTACGCACATATCAAGACCTGGATTCTATCCGGAGTAGTAACTTTTTGTTTATTTTGGATAATAAGGTGGTTCCAACTGATTTAGCAGATTTTAATTTCGGTTCATGTGCTTCAACGTTTATCTCAAAAATTAAAACGTCCGCATATTATATCAAGACCTGGATTGTAGAACCATCCTGCATCAAGTTACACAATTAACCGATTTAGTGTTTTATACATTTTTATATTTTGAACATTGACCGATGTGGATTGTTAAGGATGTCCTGCCATTCGAATATTGATCGGCCTGTTTAGCACATTACTATTGTCATAATATGGATTATGGTAAACAAGTATTAATACAGTAACATTGTCAATACAATCACTAAAAGAATTGTATAATCAGTCACCCTTTTATATAGCCTCTTATGTTTAGTGTTTACTACTGAGGAGCCGTGTCTTCTTATACCACGTGACTGTGATAACCAATCAGCTCCCAGCAGTGACTAATTAAATCCACGGATATTCAACATATTAACAGTTGGCACGACGCCAGGGCACGATGTCACGTTTTAAAAACACGTTAGGGGGAAATAAGCCGGCTCACCTGCCGACTGTTGTTGTTACACTAGGTCACACAATCTCAGTATCCCATTATGCCCTGTTAATGTACCTATGTACCCAGGCTCTGACTGCTTCCTCTTTCTCTGATTTCTTCTGTATTACTGTTGTAGCACCCCTTATCTATTCCAGTACTAACGTTTGTTTATACAAAGGAACGATTTGCCCATAAGAGGCTTCTGAGCTAATGCAACTGAAGGCTTATTCTAGATACAATGTGCTTTAGCAAATTTTCTATACGTTTTTTAAGTACAGATTTTGCAGGAGAATCGCCATGGCAATGTATATTTTCCTTTGATTTCTCTACAGCTGTCAATATGAGAGGATGGTAAGTACCCCATAATGTTTTGATTTCATTTGAGTAAGTATCTTAGCAGTGTCCTCATGGTCCGTGTTTTCTTCCCGTAACAGCACAGTAGTGGGGTACAAAACTGCAAATCCTGGAGGTTTTGTGAACTGCAGATGATGTAATAATCTTCCGTCACACCCGAACTAAGTCGTTTAAAGTCCATTTACTAGTTGGAACTCTTTGGAAATTCTCCATTTTCAACTTAAAAAGACCTTTTCCGTATATCTAAACGTTTTAAACCACGCTGTTTGAGAATAGACTCTCCAGAGGAGCATTAAGTTAAACTGACTAAGATTTACCACTTTAATTACTGAGTTATATAACTAGTCAGTGGAATGGAAATGAACAAGAACCAGAACAGTCTGTACTTCAGTTTATTCCTCCACTTAAAGTTAAACTTCCGGCCGCATCTGTAAACAGTAATACCAGTTTATTACTGTTGTAGTAATAAACTGGTAATAAACTGGTAAACCGGTGAACAGTTCAGCTCACTGTTGTGGTAATAAACTGGTAAACAGTTTAGCTCATAGCTGGTGTAGAGGTATTTTAAAGCGTTTGTTCAGATTGGTCTAGGTAAATGTTAAACCTGTATAAATGCCTCATATTCTAATTTCCTCTGCTAACGACCAGCCCACTCATATGCAAATAAAGTATAGAGATACCAGTAATGAGTAGTCAGTACGTGAGATTCTGAGAATCCGCTCTCTCCTCTATCTGCTCAATCTATCTCCTGGTAAAGTCATTCAGAGCTCGGCTGATTAGCACTACATTTAGCAGCTTACCTAAGCAATAAAGGGGTAATTATTGTAATTCGGATTGTGTGTGGTTGTGACTGGTACTATTTGAAGCAGTTTCCTGACTTTTTGGAGGATTTTCAATTTGCTCGTACGATTCTCAACATCTAGATTAGGCAGTTGAACCTGTAAGATTCGATTACTTTCTTTGAGCATGGAGGCTTATAATTCGTTGGAATTAAGCAAAGCAA